AAGATGTCGGAGCTCTTGTGGTCATCAACTTTAACCCTAGCTTCTCCACAACATGAGTTGAGATAAAATTATGTGTGGCCTGGCTATCCACCAACACCATAATCGGTTGTTCCCCTATTTATGCCCTTACCCTCATAGTGTGATTCGGGGTAAATCTCACCATCAATTTGAGGGACACCTCCGCTACATACAAATGCAGATGTTTCTCCTCCACTGCATTCTCTTTTGATCTCTCACTCTATATATCGTCCCCCCTAAAATAATAGAATTTCAAGGGCGCTCTCATTCCAACAGAATCCTGGGGCGTATTTCTCATCACAGCGAAAACAAAATTCTTTTGCGCTTTTATACTGCACTTCTGAATCTGTGAGGCGCTTGAAACTACCCCCACAGTAGGGCATGTATTCTTCTCTTTCGACATCTCTTTCTGAAATGACATCGCCTGAGTCCTCGATGTCTTGGTTGTCAAGTTGCTCTAGTAGAATCCTCCAGTGTTGCCCCCTTTGTTGGTTTTCTTTACTTGTTTCTTGTCCTACATCATCTGAGCAAGCTCCATCATTTCCTTCAATTCTCGCGATCTCAAGAGGCAGATGGTAGCTTATATGTCGACTTCAGACCTTTTAAGAAGTTCCCTTCCAAGTCTGTTGCAAAAATCCCCTCAACCTCCCTGAAAAGAGCACAAACTTCCCTCAGTACTCCGTCACCGTCCCCTCCTAAGTCATACATAGAATTATTTGTGTAGGTCTCCTTCCGAGTGACTCGGAAACGTTCCAACAAGCAATCCTTAAGCTCCTCCCGTGATTGTATGGATACATTGCCTCCATCCACTGGAACCAAGCTCAATCCTTCCCCTCCAAGCATAATCACGCTGCCATGAGTTTCTCTTTCTCGGTCAACCCGTTGATCGCAAATTATCGCTCCACCTGATAAACTCATTCATGTGCATCCTCCCCTTCGAAAATTGGCATCTTCAGTTTCCTGACCCATTTATCTCCGCCCTAACCTCCTCTTCCTCCGGTATTTTCGCCAATGTGTCTATGGTGGAACTCTCTCATTCAACCATAAGCATATCCCACTCAAGAATCCCTCTTTCATCAATCGTGCTCTTCCATGCCACTTACACCAGTCCTCCAATTTTCGGCTTATCCCCCTTCATCGGAAGTCTCCACTCCCCATCTTCTCAGTCCTAGGGCGACGGGTAGATAAGATCTTCTTCATTGTTTTCTCACTCGATCTCCTTCCTTTTTGACCTAGCTAAGAATTCTCATATCAATCCTTGGTTAGAATTGGTAATTGGAGAGATTAACACGACCTTGGCTTGCATCACCAAGAGCTTTTTCATCTTTTCTTGCATTTCTCATATGCTTTCGAATTCATTCTCTATTCGACTTTCAATGGAAGAAAATATATCATCCATTTTAGTAAACCTCTCTTCCATTCCTGATTTGATTTGTCACGTCCCGTCTTCTAGCACATCCACTTTCTTTGGCGTGATCCCACCAAGACTTATGCTATGATATCAATTCGGTACGCCACAGAGTCAAAACCAACAAACAAACCACAATGTAATGACAATAGATAGGTGGAAGAAACACAAATGATGACTGCTCTTACAAAGGATCAAATAAAACAAGCAAGATACAAATTAATATACTATTTGAGAGGTAGATCGTCTCTCCCACACCTTGCAACAATGTCCTGGAGCATATTTCCACCACTGAATTGAGGTAACACAATCTTTCATCTTGCACTTTTGCATCTTTAAGGCACTTGAAATTACTCCCAGGACTGGTTCTTGTATTCTTCTCCTTCAGTGGCTCTTTCTGAAATGATATTGTCTAGGTCCTCGGCATCGTGGTTGTCAAGTTGCACTTGTAGAATCCTCTTATGTTGTCGCATTTGTCGGTCTTCTTCACCTGTTTTTTATCATTCATCATTTGGGCGAGTTCCATTATTTCCCCCAATCCACGCGGTCTCAAGTAGGGATGTAAACGAGCCGAACACGAGTTAGTCTCGGCTCAGCTTGTGTTCGGCTTATTAAAAATATCATTGTTTTTGTTCCGCTTGTTTATATTTCGAGCACAAAGAACTTGTTCGCGTTCGGCTCGTTTGCTTGGAGAGCCAAACACAAGTTGTTCGTGAATAGAAAGTCGTTTTGACAACCCTCATCACACATTCAACTGTTAGTTGTGTAAACGAGCTGAGCTTGAATAAGCCTATGGTCAACTTGTTAAAAAATATCATTGTTCGTGTTCAGCTTGTTTATATATTGAGTTTAAAAAATTTGTTTGTGTTTGGCTCGTTTGTTTATCAATCCGAACACGAGTTGTTCAAGAACAATAAGTCATTTTGACAACCATAATCACACAGTCGTAGGATGTTAAGTTTAGGGTGAGATTTAAATCTTATTTTATATTAAAATATTCATTTAAATAGAATTTAATATATTTTCATTATTCTATTTTAATTAATAATTTAATTGATTATACATCTATGTAGCTTTATAGTCAATTAAATTATATACTTTCACCTTTTAGTTTCACACCTCATAAGAAAGAGATCTATATATATATTTGTGTGTTTGTGTGTGTCACTCTGATAGAGGAACCATAAATAAGTTTTAAATTGAGTTTTAACATTTTCGATTCTAAGTACAAAAGCAAATGCGAGCAAATACAATCATGTTGGTCTTGCTTTAATAATTACATATCAACTACTGTAAGAGATTAAATTATAAAAAGAAATAAAAAAGATTCACAGTTTTGAAGGACGAGCAAATTTTCATTTCTTTTAACTTCAAAGCAGAGTTGTTTGTGAAATAAGCCTTACTTCACACAGTTTGTTACCCTCTCTTTTCCGTATCTCAGGCCCAAAAAATGATTCAAACTTCGCCTGTCTTTGCTCAAAATCTGATAATTGCATAGATTTTGCTTCAAACACCAGAACTAAACAGTATTTTCCATCTACACCGACTTCTTCACGGATCATCCTCAGAATTGGTCCACTGCGCCTTGAAATGTTACCTCCCTGATTTAAGTTTTGCTCATCCCCATAACATATATATATAGCCAAAACAAACCGAACACGAACGAATAAAATATTGTTTATGTTTGGCTCGTTTATATATCAAGCGCAAAAAAAATGTTTGTGTTCAACTCGTTTGCTTATCGAACAATTCAAGCACGAGCTACAAAATGATTCAAACGTGAGTTGTTCACGAACAACGAGCCATTTTGATAGCCCTAGTCTCAAGGGTCGTATGTCGAGCTTTGGAACTCTTAAGAAGTTCCCTTTCAATCCTGCTGCAGAAATACCTCTCAATCTCCCTGACAAGAGCTCAAACTTCTCTCGATAATTTGTAGTTGTCCTTTCCTAAGTAAGAGTATAGAATTGTTCATTTATGACTCCTTCTCGAATAGCTCGGAATTGCTCCAAAAAGCAAACATTAAACTTCTTTCATAAGTGCATCGGATACCTTGCCTCCATCCACTTAAACCACGTTAAAGCCTTCTCCTCCAAGCATAATGTTGCTGCCATGAGCTTTTCTTCCTCAGTAATTCATTGATTGCAAAATACCGCTCCACTCGATACAAGCACCCATGTGCATTCTCCCCTTCAAAGATCATCATCTTCAGTTTTTTGGCCCTTGCATCTCCGCCCCAACTTCCCCTACCTCTGGTATTTTCCCCCATGTATCTAGGTGAAACTCCCTTCGGTCATAGACATACCAAACTCCTGATTCCCTCCTTCCTCCATCTTGCTCTTTTGTGTCCCTTACACAATGTATCCTCCAATTTTCGGCCCATTCCCCTCTATCAAAAGTCACCACTCCACCTCCTCTCAGAGTCCTTGGGGGACGCTCTTGTTGGTAGATGATGTATTCCTCCTTGTCTTCTCGCTTGATCTCCTTCTCTTTTGACTTGATCAATCATTGGCAATTGACATGGCCTAAGATTGCATCTTCATGAGCTTTCTCATCATTTCCGACATTTCTCCCATGCTTTCAAATCCATCCTCCATTCGACTTTCAATGGAAGAAAACATGTCCTCCATGGTGGCGAACCTCTCTTCCAATCCTGATCTGGTTTATTTTTCCTCTCCTTCTAGCAAATCGACTTTCTTTATTGGCATCCCACCAAGATCTATGCTCGGACACCAATTTGATACGTTTTTGCTCCAAAATCAGTGAGCAAACTATCATGAAACAGCAAGAGATAGAAGGCAAACTCAAGAGAGGGCTGCTCTTAACAAACAAATAAAGTCAAAAAGCAAGATACAATAGTAATCTACTATTTGATAGGCGGATCAGCTCTCCCACAACCCTAGACGACCCTAGAAACCCCACAATAAAAAGAAAAACACAGTAACCAACAAAACATGTACAAAAAAGCAAATCCTAGGTTCCTCCCCTTAATAGAATCCTCCCGCAGCATTTGAACACTTTCCGTCCAAATTTGCTTCAATTTCTCCTCCTTGAGTATGTAATTAAGCCTCTCGTGGAACCAACCTACCCCCTGCCCCCTTCTGCCGTAGCAAGGTGCCGACCGCCTTCTTCTTGTGGATAGGATCGACCCGCCTGCT